AAGAACATATCCACACTGAAAACTACGCCCCTTCCTCCCAGTCCACCTGGCCTCTTACTCCAAATGTGTTCTAACCACAGCCTAACTCCTTCTTCGTCCATCCAACCATTCTCATGCGTGCACATACCCCCCGCTGGGAACTTAACACTGGCATTGTTTTCGGCAAAAGATAATCATGGGTTTCAACTTTGTTCCATCCTGCCATACAACTCAACCACTATGACGTGCTTTTCATGTCAGTCGCCTTCACAAAATAGTTTTCGAGCGTTTGCTTCCACGTTCGATTGCGATCCTATCAAAGTTCATAGGAGTTTCAGTCATATTCGATACAGGTTAGAAATTGTGGATTTGCCGTCAATTTGAATAATGTACCGTTGAAAACATGTGATTTTGCTCTCCAGGTCAGGGGTGGCTTCTGTACGATTTTAGTTTTCTGTCTTAATAATCCTTTTCCAATTCAATAAACGACTACACGGCCTCTTTTTTGCCTTGAAGTCTACTAATTATCTGGTTGGACTTGCCAGCTTCATTCGTAAACATATGGTTCGGTGATCACATCATCCACTCTCTCGGTTCATTGACCCACTGAATAATTTCTCCTCAGTTCTGGCCACTGTTATTTACCTCTTCTCAGGGCACATTTTGTTCTGGGGATGTCTATTAACTATTCTTCAGCCTTCTTTCACTCTGAACCTGCTTCTCGTTAGCTTGAATTCTCTTGCAGCTGCAAGGTTGTTTGATTCCTTTACAGTCTTACAACTTTTAACGAACGATGCGTTGTATTTCATTCGTTTTAGGGTGGGGCCATTTTACCATACTATAACAAGGGTTTAAAGACAACCACCTCATAGATATGAAAAACTGAAGTGCCAGAGAATGTGGTAAACAGATAAGAGGTCAATTATGAAAAAGTGAGTCGGTCCAGTATCGAATGTCAAACCTCGTAACGGTAATGCTAATAATGAGACAAGAGGTCGACTATGAGAGGTGATTCAGTACAGTATTGAATGTCAAACCGCTCGTAACGGTAATGCTAATAATGAGACAAAGGTAGACTCTGAGGAGGTGATTCAGTACAGTATTGAATGTCAAACCTTCAGTAACGGTAATGCTAATAATGAGACAAGAGTTAGACTATGAAGGTGATTCAGTACAGTATTGAATATCAAAACCGCCGAACGGTAATGCTTAAGAGAAGCACTGAAGGATCAGTACGACAAACCGTAACGCATAATGAGTCGTTTGGGGTCGGCTTATACACATCTAGAACTGATATTTCTGCAAAATATTCAGCTACTTATACCCCAGTATCGTATTACTGATGATGATACTACTTATAAATAAATCATTGAAAACTATTTTTGCATTATTCATAAAAGTGCCGGCGACAGTTTGTCGCCAGCTGTCTTTAGGTTCTGTGTTTGGTAGAGCAAGTAATGCCTAAAATAATAATAATTCCACAAATAAATACATTTATTGCTAAATCATAGCATTATTTTCAGCACACAACAACTTGAAGGTTTTGATACAACATCAAAACAACGAACAAACAAAAATTGTAACAGGCAATTACATTCAGGAAGCTTCGTGTCGAGGTGCTTGATGGTGCAAAATAGTTACACTGGAACCTGAGAAACCCGCCAGTAGGCAAACAGTGGCGGTAAATGGCACCATTCTGAACATCACCCAAATTTGTAACCAAACCATTAAGTCAATACACAGTGTAAGCAGATAAATATAACTTGACTACCAACACAGCTATAACACCTTATATACGTACTGTTGTCATGTAACTTCAAGTTTTAATTCAGAGTTGAAACAGTAATACCAAAGTAATTAATATAAAACAAAGTGAAACTCAGCACAGAGTAAGTGAACAATTATCTCCCGGATAGGCCCCTTAGTTATGGAAACTGAGCACTCAAGGAGGCAAAAGTCTTAAGTTACTTTACTAACTTTCCTTTTATTTTAATCTCAAAATTTAAATTATTTCTTTGCCAGTCTTGGGGCTTTTTGGTTGAAATGATTTAGTTATAGGTTGACAATCTCTTTTCCGAAATTCAAACCAAAACCTCTGAAACAAAGTTTTCAATGTTGTGCAAAAGTAGTTCCATATACCCCGTTTTTATTTTATATTTTTTTTTTATACAGGAATTAGCCCACCCGGGCACAGGTCACTGACCTACATCAGGGTGTGGGGGTAAAAATGTATAATATTAATAATAATAATTCATAGTAAATATAAAAATAAAATAATAATGATAAAATAATACAACACACATTAATGATACAGGTTGATACTCTTATCTGAAACCTCAAATAGAGTTCGATTGAATTTTTCGGTTTTCAGAATTTTTTATTTATTTATTTATTTATTTATTTTTTTTTTATAGTCCACCTGGGCACAAGTCACTGACCCACATTGGGGCCTGGGGGGACGAAAATATAATAATAATAATAATAATAATAATAATAATAATAATAATAATAATAATACATAATTATAATAATAATAATAATAATAATAATTCATAGGTCTAGGTCGTGTTTCTCACTTTTTATCTTTTTTTCATTCTTGTATTTCTTTATTATTATTATTTTATTAATACAGTATTATTGTTATTATTATTATTATTATTAATTTTGTTATTATATTTTATTATTTTTATTATTATTGTTATTATTTTATTTTGGTGTATTTTTTATTAAAATTTTTATTTACTATGAATAATAATTATTATTATTATAATTATTATTACTATTACTATTACTATTACTATTACTATTACATTTTCGCCCCCCAGGCTCCGATGTGGGTCAGTGATCTATGCCTGGGTGGGCTAATCCCTGTTAAAAAAAAAACAAAAAAAAACATTATCTGAAATCCGAATTACATCTGGCCCCAAGGATTTTGGATAAGGGATTGTTAATCTGTAATACCTTGTAAAATGTAACAAGTGACCATCTGTTTGTATTGTAAACTTTGCTAGTTACGTTTTACTGTAGGTTTAGTTATTACAGCATTACTTGGCTTAATTGAATAGGTGATTCCACACTCATGGTTGACATGGCAGTACCCAACACAGTACTGTATGAGTAATAGGATGTGAAAAATATGCAAGTGATTTTTAAATACTATACTTAACCTAAATAAACACAAAAACATATATACAAGGGTGAAAAATAATGTACTCGGCTGTACTAATACATGTTACAACTAGATGGCCAGTAGATTCCTTGTGTCCAGGTTAGTGCCGGAACAGTGGATCATTCCACAACAGAGTAACAGGGCCGGTCAAGAGCCGATGGTGGTGAGAGCTGAACTGCTAGGGTCTGGGTGCTCAGAAGAGTCATCACCTGCCCCTCAAAAGCCAGCAAGGTTTTCCACCAATCAGGAACCAACTCCTGTCTCTGTTTTTCTTGTTAGCCTGTTGGTAACTAGTGGCTTGGTGGTCGTGGTGTATATGTAGGGAAGTGCGACCCTTCTATGTTACAGTGTGTATGGGTGTCTACACACACACACACACACACACACACACACACACACACACATGTTGTGGAAAGCCGATCAGCTGTTTGCCCGTTTACTCTTTGTAAACAAATTACACCCGCCTCTCATTTTACACGGGGGTTACGTTCTTGAAAATCACCGCTTAATTAAAAAACGCGTAAATTAAACATAATTTTCTCACAAGAATATATGTAAATGGTACAGGTTAGGGGAACCATCATATACCATACAGGGTATGAACAGTGCTCTCACTTAAACCAAGCACGCGGCCAACCTCCGACACACGCTCTCCTCTCTGAAGGCGGGTGATCACATTTAATTTCACGTCCATTGTGATTGTTTTTCGTGCCTTTTTAGCTTTAGGTTCCCCAGAGCAGGCGATGGACGTTTTCCAGACATGGTCAATGGGGAAAACAGTGTTTAACGCTAAAAAGGTACGTGATAAACACACAATGCAAATGAGAGCACAGAGAAAAAGTAGTGCTGGTGTGAACTGAGAAAGAGATACTCGGGAAGCTTGCTGGACGTCTTCACAGTTGTTGTACAGAATACTTCATTATCATCATTATCTTCATCATTAGTAATAATAATCTTTATTAAAACATTATTATAATTATTATTATTATTATTAATAATATTAAAATCGTTCATGTTGATATGACTGAGACTTTATAGTAATAACTTACAAGCACTTCACCAGGCATCACATGCGACTCCACTGCCAGGCGACCAGGCAAATACGTGTGGCAAATTTAAACTGTGTTGACCGCGTTATTTCAAAAATAGGTGCACGTAAATTAGCTTTTGGCATTAATTGAACAATCGTGTTATTCCCAAAACGTTTAAATCAAACGCTCGTAAAGTGCGAGTTACCTATACTCATGATGTTCAGTGTGGGATTCTTTATTCAGGAAAGTTGATTCTATTAGGATAATATTTTATCAACCTGGCACCAAATGATCCTAAATTATATGAGAATTATGGTGAAAATGCATAAAGAAGTGTTAAAGGAATCTTGTGGGAGTGAGCCACCCACCCGCCCTCTCCTCCATCCCCTCCCCTCCGCTCTGACAGCTGCTCCCAGGTCATCTCACAGGCAACCTCATCCCTATTTTTGGTCCTTTCCCGTGAGTCAAGCTATTGCTAAACCAAATATTTGCTTAACGTTATGTCAAAAAGGGAGTCAAATTTAATTTATTGCTAAAATAATTTAATGGTAAACAAAGGATACCTATATACTGTACTGACAACTGATGTTTAAATACCAATTGACTTACAGTGTATGGCAGTGCCACTTCAGAAATTTTGGCTCAAATTCGGCTAGGTTCAAATCAGGAAGATAACTTTCGAACTTGGACAAGTGGTTTGAAATTGAGATTACCTGTACCTGTTCATACTTGAAATTAGCTTGAATTAAGCGAAGTACTTAATAGCCAAGTTTGAAATAGCGAGATTCTACTCTAATTGAATGTATTTATTTTTAAATCTTTATTTAGGAATTTATTTGTCATTTCAGGTTGCAAGGTGTACCAAGATCATTAATGCTGATTCTGATGATCCCAAGTATATCATAAATGTCAAACAGTTTGCAAAATTTGTCGTAGATCTGGCCGATTCAGTTGCACCTACAGATATTGAGGAAGGCATGCGTGTTGGGTAAGTTATATTGCTATTTCTATTTTGTTGCAGCAAGTGTTTCTGGAAGTTCTTAAAAATTTATTTTAATGTTTAATTATATGTAATATTTTGAACTGTAACAGTATTTCAACGTTTGATTTTTCCACTACTCGGAAAGTGGAAAGCTGGAAAGTGGTAACATAGATACAGTAAACCCTCGATAGCTTGGCACATATGGGACTCTGGCTTTGCCGAGTTATCCCAAACTCCGACTTATCGATGCACTTCCCCTTCCTCCAAAAATACGACAATAAAATTTTATCGCCCCATATATGTGTGCATGTACAGTAATTACTAAATGTAAAAAAGAAACACTTACCAGCACTGCAGGTGAATAATGAAGCATCATAGTAGGTGACACAGATGAATGGTAGGTGACACAGGCATGGTAGGTGACACAGAGGCATGGTAGGTGACACAAAGGCATGGTAGGTGACACAGAGGCATGGTAGGTGACACAGAGGCATGGTAGGTGACACTGAGGCATGGTAGGTGGGTGGCACCTGGGCATGGTGACACGGGCATGGTGGGTGACACAAAGGCATGGTGGGTGACGCAGGCATGGTGGGTGGGACAGGTGTGGTGGGTGACACCAGGGCATGGTGGGTGGGACAGGGCATGGTGGGTGGCCTGGGCATGGTGGGTGAGCACAGGGCATGGTGGGTGACCTGGGGCATGGTGGGTGACACAAAGGCATGTTGGGTGACACAAAGGCATGGTGGGTGACACAGAGGCATGGTGGGTGGGACAGGGCATGGTGGGTGAGACAGGGCATGGTGGGTGACACAGAGGCCATGGTGGGTGGGACAGAGGCATGGTGGGTGACACAGGCATGGTGGGTGACCTGGGCATGTGCAGGTGACCTCAAAGACGTGGTGAGGCACAAAGGCATGGTGGGTGACACGCAGGCATGGTGGGTGACACAGGCATGGGTGGTGAGCACGGGCATGGTGGGTGAGCCTGGGAGGCATGGTGGGTGAGCACGGGCATGGTGGGTGAGCCTGGGGCATGGTGGGTGGGACAGGAGCATGGTGGGTGGGACAGGGCATGGTGGGTGAGGTCAGGGCATGGTGGGTGACACAAGGCATGGTGGGTGACACAGGCAGTGGGTGACCTACAAGGGCATGGTGGGTGAGACAGAGGGCATGGTGGGTGGCCTGGGCATGGTGGGTGAGCACAGGGCATGAGTGGGTGACCTGGGGCATGGTGGATTGACACAGGGGCGTGGTAGGTGACACAGGGGCATGAGTGGGTGAGCACAGGCATGGTGGGTGAGCACAAAGGCATGGTGGGTGGGACAGGGCATGGTGGGTGGGACAGAGGCATGGTGAGTCACTGGGGCATGGTGGAGTGTGAGACAGAGGCATGGTGGGTGAGACAGGGGGCATGGTGGGTGAGCCTGTGAGGCATGGTGGGTGACACAGGCATGGTGGGTCACCTGGGGGCATGGTGGGTGAGGACAGAGGCATGGTGCTGGGTGGAGACAGAGGCATGGTGCAGGTCACACAGAGCATGGTGGGTGAGACAGGCATGGTGGGTGACACAGAGGCATGTTGGGTGGCCTTGGGGCATGTTGAAAAAAGATTGAGCACAGGGCATGGTGGGTGAGCACAGGCATGGTGGGGTGACACAGGCATGGTGGGTCACCTGGGGGCATGGTGGAGTGAGCCTGGGGAGGGCATGGTGGGTCAGGACAGGAGGCATGGTGGGTGAGGCGTGGGTGAGCACAGGCATGGTGGGTGAGCACGGGCATGGTGGGTGACACAGGGCATGGTGGGTGACACAGAGGCATGGTGGAGCACACAGGCGTGGTACTTGGGTGGGCACACTGGGCATGGTGGGTGGAGACGGGCATGGTGGGTGGGACAGGGCATGGTGGGTGGGACAGGGCATGGTGGGTGGGACAGGGCATGGTGGGTGACCTGGGAAGGCATGGTGGGGTGGGGACAGGGCATGGTGGGTGACCTGGGCATGGTGGGTGACCTGCAAAAGGCATGGTGGGTGTGCGACACAAGGCATGGTGGGTGACACAAGGCATGGTGGGTGACACAGGCATGGTGGGTGACACCAAAGGCATGGTGGGTGGGCGACTTTGGGGCAGTGAGCCTGGGGCATGGTGGGTGAGCACAGGCATGGTGGGTGACTCAAGGCATGTGGGTGACACAGGCATGGTGGGTGACCTGGGGCATGGTGGGTGAGCCTGGGAGGCATGGTGGGTGAGCCTGGGGCATGGTGGGTGACCTGGGGCATGGTGGGTGGCCTGGGGGGCATGGTGGGTGAGACAGGGCATGGTGGGTGGGACAGGGGCATGGTGGGTGGCACAGGCATGGTGGGTGACACAGGGCATGTGGGTCCACTGGAGGGGCATGGTGGGTGAGCCTGGAGGCATGGTGGGTGACACAGGCATGGTGCAGGTGGGGACAGGGGGCATGGTGGGTGGGCACAAAGGCATGGTGGGTGGGGACAGGAGGGCATGAGGTGGGTGACACGGGCATGGTGGGTGGGCCTAGGGCATGGTGGGTGGGCCTGCAAAGGCATGGTGGGTGACCTGAGACATGGTGGGTGAGCCTGGGCATGGTGGGTGACACAAAGGCATGTGTGGGTGAGCCTGGGGCATGGTGGGTGACCTGGGGCATGGTGGGTGACCTGGGGCATGGTGGGTGACCTGGGGGCATGGTGGGTGACACAGAGGCATGGTGGGTGGGACAGGGCATGGTGGGTGACACAGGGGGCATGGTGGGTGAGACAGGGCATGGTGCAGGTGAGACAGGGCATGGTAGATTGAGGACAGGGCATGAGGAGGTAGGTGACGCACAGGCATGGTGGGTGAGACAGAGGGCATGTGGGTGACACAGGGCATGGTGGGTGACCTGGAGGCATGGTGGGTGAGACAGAGTCATGGTGGGTGGGACAGGCATGTTAAGATTGAAGTTCAGGGCATGGTGGGTGAGACAGGAGGCATGGTGGGTGACCTGGGGCATGGTGGGTCACACAGGGGCATGGTTGGTGACACAGGGGGCATGGTGGGTGACCTGGGGCATGGTGGGTGACACAGGGGCATGGTGGGTCCACACAGGCATGGTGGGTGTTACCAGAGGGCATGGTACTTGGGTCAGACAGAGGCATGGTGGGTCACACCTGGAGGCATGTTAGGTGAGACAGGGCATGTTGGGTGAGCACAGGCATGAGGTGGGTGACTTACAGGGCATGGTAAGGTGACCTGCAGAGGGCATGGTGGTGGGTGAGACAGGAGGGCATGGTGGAATTGAGACAGAGGCATGGGTGGGACAGAACCTGGTGGGTGAGACCTTGGGGGCATGGTGGGTGAGACAGGGCATGGTGGGTGAGACAGAGGCATGGTGGGTGACACAGGGCATGAAGTGGGTCACACAGGGCATGGTGGGTGGCACAGGCATGGTGGGTGAGCACAGGCATGGTGGGTGACTGGGGGCATGGTGGGTGACACCCAGAGGGCATGGTAGGTGAGACAGAGGCATGGTGGGTGGGACAGAGGCATGGTGGGTGAGACAGGGCATGGTGGGTGAGACAGGGCATGGTGGGTGAGACAGGGCATGGTGGGTGAGCACGCAGGCATGGTGGGTCACCTGGGGCATGGTGGGTGAGCCTGGGGCATGGTGGGTGGCCTGGGGCATGGTGGGTGACCTGGGGGGCATGGTGGGTGAGCACAGGCATGGTGGGTGAGCCTGGAGGCATGTGGGTGACCTGGGGCATGTGTGTGGGTGAGCCTGGGGGCATGGGTGACACAGGGGCATGGTGGGTGGGCCTGGGGCATGGTGGGTGACTGGGGGCATGGTGGGTGGGACAGAGGGCATGGTGGGTGGGACAGAATGGTGGGTGGGGACAGGGCATGGTGGGTGACTCAGGGCATGGTAGGTGACTCAGGCATAATTAGCAGGTGACTCAGGGCATGTTAGGTGACACAGGGCATGGTGGGTGACTGGGAGGCATGGTGGGTGAGACAGAGGCATGGTGGGTGAGACAGGGCATGGTGGGTGGACAGGGGGGCATGGTGGGTGGGACAGGAGGCATGGTGGGTGAGACAGGGCATGGTGGGTGACACAGGGGGCATGGTAGGTCACACAGGCATGGTAGGTGACACAGGCATGGTAGGTGACACAGGCATGGTAGGTGACACAGGCATGGTAGGTGACACAGAGGCATGGTAGGTGACACAGAGGCATGGTAGGTGACACACAGGCATGGTAGGTGATGCAGGTGGCCAGATATGCTCAGATTTTCCCAGATAATTTTATATATCTCGGCATTTCCCGAGTTATACTAATACATTCCGAGACCATATCCCTGCCAAGTCGTATGAAATTCCGAGTTATCAAATGCAGAGTTATTGAGTGCTTACTGTACTGTATTATGTTAGGCCATAGTTGTTAGCATAACTCTATTCTTTTTCTGTGTTTGCTAATGTAAGATTAGTGTTTATTTAATTAGAGAAAAAAATCTGAATTTATCATTTGTTGGGTTCTTCTTAATGCAGATTTAGCCAATACAGGTACTCCCCGACTTACGAACTAATCGACTTACGTCCACCTGCACTTACGACCTGCCTCAATCGTACTAAAATTTGGTCAAATTATGTATTTTCGAGTCCCAAAGTCAGTACACAGACAAAATTTTCATCTGTAATTCACTTTAAAATGGCTGGCAAGCTTAAAAGTGAGTGTTTTATGGTGCTGAGAAGAAAAAGAGACCCCCATTTTCGATTTTCTGTGTTATTTAAGCATTTTTGACTTACGACCATTTCGACTTAACGACCTGGATTTGGGAGTACCTGTAATATGTTGTACTGTACTAGAGTGGTGATAACTGTAGAAGTGTGATACTAACTTTACCCAAAATACAGTACTTTATAGTACAATAGTCATCTAGTGATGTACAGGTACACCTCCGATTATCAGGGAACTGATGGTCCGGCACCTCCTTTAGTCCAGACAAAATTATGA